GACAGCTGTCCCCATATTAAGGAGTGTGCAATCAATGAGTTCTAGTGAATAGCAAATATCTGTTTAGTTTTCTATTCTTCTCAGAGAGTAAGCAAACGAGTTCTTCGTCACTCCATCGCGATTCGTTTCCGGATTTCAAGTTTTCTTCTTGAAATGTACAGTATTTACAGAAACGTCTGGTAGTGCTTTGAGATTTCTAATTTCAGATTTCAAAATGTTTGCAATTTCCACGGAAAACATGTTTAAATACTTCATAATTGACTTTACTCATGGCCCAACAATAAAAAAGCTTTCAAGCTATTCCCAGGAAAATATATTCAGGTTAAATTTTGTAGTGATACTTTTTGGCATACAAAATGTTTTTCGCTCAGGTCGACCCAGAAATCTGGATCTGTATAATTATACTGTTCAGCATGCACAACACGTTAAGATCACGTTGAGAGTACCAGTCCTTATATAATTATTATCTACCGAAACACATCATATTTGGATAAAGGGCAAAATAGCAGTGAAAAGTATATAAAGGGTAGGCGCGTCCTGTCCAACGCCACTAACAATTTGCATAAAAAGTAAGTCTTTGTTTGTTGCCTGGCGCCGCACACCAGTACTCCTGCCATGCGACGGCAGCCTGAAAACAAACAAGAATATCAAGCGATGGACCAGAAAATCTAGTTGGTTGGTTGTTGGTTGGTTTGTTGTTTAGAGCCGCTCTATTCCAGCTATATGACGGCGGTCTGTAAATAATCAAGTTTGGACCAGACAATCCAGTGATTAATATCATGAGCATCGATCCACTCAATTGAGATAGAAGGGAAAGTTTATTTCACCCTCTTGTCATACAGTCTTGTTGACAGTTATTTGTCACTCTGAATTTGTAATCAAAGATCACAGCACGGACAGGTTATATAGGTCCGTGATCACAGCAAGCTCACTGTCTTGATGAGTTTCAATGGCGAAATGAATAGCACTTAAAGCAGCCGGATTGTGAACGGAATTTTCGTTGACAAGACTACTAAGGCGTTGCATTTCTTTTCGAAATTGCATCTTAATGTGGATGATATTTTTACCACAAAAACGACAGAAAGTGCCCAAGCTCAAGTCTCGAACACGCGATTGGGTCCGGAAAAGGTGTGATTGCCGTGAGCCTGAACAGATTGCCTTCAAATTCTGAATGTACAGAACACCTTTAACATTGATGAGAAACGATAGTAACTGCCCCCTACTATTCTTAACGATTGTTAAGTTTTTGTCATTTATACAATTAGATTGATGACGTCACGCGAGTGTTGTTGCAGTTGATAATGAGCCAGGAATTCACCGCCTCTTCTGGACGTGAACTTCAAACAAGTAAAATTGACTATTAGGACATCATACAAAATTATAAAGAAATTATATATCAACCAAAACATGATTGAAGTCGGAGTCATCAATCGATTCTGTTCCGGAAGTAGAATCAAAGAGCCCCAACCGATTCACATTATAACACCGGAGGCACGGGTGGCGAAGTCGTCCAAGACGCCATTTTTCGCTGTGAAGAGTTGCGTACCTTGGACACACCAGAAACCTATGCTCGTGGGATCGAATCCCGGTTCGTGGTAAACGTCTCAGATCCGCATCACCATGAACTTTCTTTCCACGTCAAGCTGACACGCCATTAGATAACTGGAATACTGTTCAATTCACTAATTTACACACGTGATTTCTCCAAAACATGACGTGTTCTGCGGTTTAAAAATGTGTGTAAGTTGGCAACTTTGTGACCACAGAATATACGCGTATTATTGTGTATTCATATTCTAAATGCATGATTATGTGGCATCATGGCAAATATACTCAAGGCTTACTGATAATGTCTGCCGACAACATTCCTTTACTTGATGGTTTCATGAATGCGGTAAACGTGTTTAGATCTTATGCTTTAATCAGAATATGGCACATACTCATATTTGTCTTGAATGAAAACTATGCCACAAATATGAAATACATGTACCCTTATACCACTGATAGCTTGGTTTGATATGGCTGGATTTGATACATTTCTGTTCATGATTTGATCATAGTAAAAATTTGTATGGGTGACAACTTGTTTATTTACTCTGTTGAGACGTTTTCCGTTTCGATGTCAACACCTTATATAAATACATGGCTTGCGAACAGATACACGTATTTACCATGGGATTACAGAGCGATTACGTTTACACAGCGGGAGAGATGATTGGAAAGAAAGGAGTACACACTGACTGAAAGGGCTATTTAATTTGCCCTTTTAGAATGTGTCTTGAGAGAAATGTTATATGGCACTGTATTTTATTGTTTGACAGTGATTGTAAGTGTTTCATTGTTTCTGTTGACATTCGGTAGACGCTCATTGCATTGTGTTTGCACAGTGATCAGTCGTCAGGCAGCTACTATGTTTAGATGTTAAATGTGGTGTGTAAGCTTCCGGTTCGGTATAGCGCGGACGGTGAAAGTATGTTATGGAATTTTTTTAATGTTCTTGTAACATGGACAGGCGAGGGCACTGTCTGGAACTTTCCAGTGGCTGGGAGGTTACTTTTTACAGGGACAATAGCGTGTTTTCGTATCTGTCACGCATTTTCATCACATCGGAACCAGCTTTCGTGTGAGAATCGCTCATCATCCCTAACTGCCTGCCTAGTCGATCACGGAAGCTTGACCACTGTCGCCGCTGGGTGAATATATATTATTATCACTGACTTTAGCGATCACCACTGTATCTTTGTATTTGATACTGACCACTGCCATCATATTATATACTTTCATTGAATATTGTACACCCCCTCTATTGTGAACTGCAATTGTAATTATTGTGCAGTAATTTGTGTTGATTTGTGAACATTGTTAATTTGGTAATACATTTGTTGATTGTATATGACTTGTTGGTTGTTTGTTGGTTTCACACTTGGTACTTTTTCGTACAGATTTCTGAGTTAGCATATTGTTTTAAATTGGGAATCGTACATTGAGGGATGTTTTCTTTGCCATGCAGGTGACCGAATATTATGTTTTGAGGACAAACGCACTCGACCCGTGAAGATCCGGGGTAGAATAGGTCTAGGTCAAAGGCTTGCTGCAAAAGGCGACCATGCTTTTCGTAAGAGGCGACTAACGGGACTAACGTGGTCAGGCTCGCTGACTTGGTTGATGCATGTCATCTGTAATTGCGTGGATCGATGCTCATGATGTCAATCACTGTATTGTCTGATCCAGGCTAGATTATTTACAGACCGCCGTCATATAGCTGGAATATTGCTGAGTGCGGCGTTAAACAACAAACAAACATACTAACGCACTCTATACATAAAATTTACTCTGTGTATACTTTTGTCCAATAGAAATTAAAATTGAACACAACCGTGAACAAGAGTCATCAGAAGATGGCATTTTCGTCCGGCCCCTTTGTGAAAGAGCAAATCATCTGACTGTTAAGTCCAACTTGATGAGAGAATTTCTATCTTATCTGTCTCTCCGCAAAGAGGAGTAGTATGGAATTGGGATTCAGAAATTTGTCTTTCTATGTCAGGTACACACATTATGAACAGAACAAAATTGTTGCCATGCAAACAGAAAAAAAGGTCAATTTAAACACCCCGAAGAAGCGAAAAGCACCATTCGACAACCTGGTCTTTGTGTGTGCAAAGTGTCATAAAAGAGAGCATATTAAGTTTAGATATGGTCCGGACAAACGGTTTATGCCCAGTTTGGCCCTTCCCAGTGTGAGAGTAAAAGTCAAACTTGTTGCCATGGAAACGGGATTTTTTTTTAATTCCTAAATAGTAAAAGGCACCAATTTAACCCCTGATTAATAGGTTTGGATGTCCCAAGTCCAAAAATGTTCCATTGAAATAGTGAAAACAAAATGACAAAAACCCGTAGACAGCAAAAGTTTCCACTTCAGGATCTGTTTGATGTATCTATCAATTCTTGTTGAAAAATATTGAATTGTTTTCAAGTTGAACTCCGGAAACGAAATGATTATGGACGAACGGACGGACAGACAGACGAGGCGACGACAATACCCCCTCTGTATAGATTGTGTAAGTATGACATCCACCTTTACATATATATATATCATAGATATATGATATTTTAAATGGTAAAGTGGTAAAGTTACATTACCAAACGTGTGTTTTTCGAAAACCCCACACAGGCATTTCGTCACTGACACACACACACACACACACACACACACACACACACACACACACACTGTGGTCTATATTCATATCTATGTCTACTTCCGTTCAAACATGAATCACGTCGTCTATCTCAAAATTGATTTAGTGACGTGAAATTGGAATATGTTTGGGTCCTATACTGACCACATCCTAAATGCTCCGACATTGTAATTTGTGTCAAGAAATCGGAATTCCATGAAAGAGCTTGCAAAACGAGACTATTCAAAACCATTCCTCAAATAACTGCGATGTCACTTTTCAACTATTAGCACTCGTTGCAGCAAACAAGAATATGAATACCATAGTAACACAACCTTCAGCACGCTCGTGCCTTAATCAAACTTGTAAAGCAATACTCTACACTGACTGTCAGCTCTGTATTTTCTGTCTCTTGCTTTCATACACACAGGGGCTTCAGGTCGCTTTATCATTCTCTGTTATAATGAATAGAGTTGATGTTTCCTCACTATCGGACAATCAGTTAAAATGGTAATTCATCCATTAGCCATTATCACAATATTTGAATGCCATAAAATAGTGGCTTTAGAGCGATGGCGTGTTTGCGTTGTAAAGCTTTGAAAGGGCTAATAGGGTTGTATTGTGTTAGGTGACATATATGGACAGGAGCAGGTAGCTTTCGATAGCTTTTCATTGTCATATGGTTGATACCGCAGCACAGGTACCGCACTGTGTTGATTAAAAGCGTCAGTTCTGCACCTCATATTGAGGTATATGCCGTTCATCTGAACTAAAGACACAGATTCTACTTATCAATTGGTGGTATTGTTGGGTATTGTGGTGGTGGTTACGGATTATAAACAAGCATCAATCATGAAAATAGAAAGTGTTGCCACTTCCGAAAGAAAGGACACTGGAAAGTTTATTACAATCGAAGAAAGAATGAAACCTCTTTTGATGTCCATGAAACTATTGGGACTGTACTTTGACCCACAGCAAGATGGCAATACGTTTGAACAGTCACAGAATGGACGTAAGAGAATATCTACACGGCTACTGTCATTCTTCAGCCACCGACTGTATTGTTACATGGTTCTTCTTTTGCTGTGGTTCAATTTTGTCCGATGTTTTGTTGGCATATTTCCTCTGAATGAAAGATTGCCCTTCAGGGTTATTCCTACGTCCTGGTATCTCCAGTGCTCTTTGAATGCAACTATCATGGTTGTTTCATGTCAGAGACTCAGACACTTGCGATCCTTCTACAACCATTGGGATTCTCTTTTCAAGAACAATGTGACGAACCAAATTGGATGTGGATTCATATGCCCAATAAAGTATTTGAATGTTGCGACATCAGGTGGTTGGGTTTTGTTCTTCATCAACATAGCTGCAGTTTTAATAATCTCTCTTGGAAATTTGTCGACATCGGTGCTATTACTTGGAGATCTTGTTCGGCCATTTCCCAGTGAACGATGGGCAGCCGTACTCAATCTTATCTTGCACACTTTCGACACTGGTGCATGGATATTTCCTGTAATCTTCGTGGTCGTAGTTTCCAGGGTCATCAAAGGTCAATTCCTCAGATTTGGGCAGGTCCTTTCCAAGCAGATCAAGGAAGCAGAAGACCAAATACCTGATCGTCTGCCAGAACTGAGATCTCGCTACACACAGCTTTGTCAGGCTGTGGACATCATCAACAGAACGTTCAAATGGATCCTCGGACTATCGTTTTTCCTCCAGGTTCTCCTGGCCTGTTTTATTTCGTATCAGATGATAACTGGCAAATACGAGATGTTTACAACATTAACTTATTCGTATTGGCTGGGAGGTTGTTTTGTAATCATAACATTGCTGACAAGCAGCAGTTCAGATGTACATGATGCGGTAAGTACAGATTTACATGTGCCTTGTGTTCTCTCGCTCCTATTAATTTAGTGACAAACATGTAAAGCTGGAATGGGAGAATACTGAAATATCTTGACCAGGGTGGCTCCAAAGGGACTCGGGCAAAAACGAGTTCCCAGTCGGGTTGCGAAGTCGTCTAAGGTGTCGTAATTCTTTGCACGGAAGTGTGTGCCTTAGGCACGTCAAAAAACATCTTCCCGAGGCAAGAGAATTAACTAACAATAAAAGTCCCGATTTCGCCCTTGCCGAACAAGGCTGGTATTATTGAGTTATATTTTGGCTGGACTAACGAGTCCATGCTTAGTCCAATCAAAATCATGCAACGAAATCGAAATCCGGTTCGTAAACCATCGTGCAACTTTCGGTCGATTGCACCGCAAACTCGTTGTAAACAGATATTTTCCAAATCTTTTCACGTTTTAATCAAGGTGCTCTGATGCACCTTGCGATGTAAGACCCGTTTTATCGTTGATTATTGATTAGATCGTCTTGACTTGGCGCCGCCATTTTGTTCGAAGCAAATGCAAGTGATACGAGAGATGGAATCTGTTTGGTCCATAGGAAAGGCTTAGAAGGGCCATAACTCGTAATAGCCACTGGTGGCGATACTATCGAGCCCAGGAATTCCAGTCTAGTTCGGCAAGGGTGGAAACTGGTCTTTTAAAGTCAGTTTACTCCCATGCCTCGTGAAGAAGACCAGAAAGCCATGATCGTTGGTTCGAACTCCAGTTCACCCAGATCTTGTTTCCAGGTTTGTCAGCACCATACCCGTTCTCTTGGGTTTCACCAAAGTGGTACACGTCTGAGACCTGATAACTGGAATACCAGTTTTAGAAAATAATGTCAAAACACATGGATATCCTGTCTTTTGAAACGAGGATAAATAGGCACTGTATCCATGTCCGTAATTTCATCATTTATGACCTGAGCAAATAAACAGCTAGGACATTTCAAGTGCCCATCAAGATTGAATATTGTGCGCTTGTTATTTTTCTTCATAAATTACATTTCATAGGGCAAGTGTTGCACCGCCGGCATTAAGGCACCCCCTCCCCTTTATAAATGTGTTAAATGCCCCAAATTGACCATGAAGGGCAAATATATCCATTGAAGTAAAATGGTGCACGTAAACAGGGCTTTAGATTTCGGCAGTTCCTTTCCAAGCAGATAGAGGAAGCAGATGACCACATCCCTGATCGTCTGCCTAAACTGAGATCTCGCTTCGCCCATCTTCGTCAGGCTGTGAATATCATCCTTAGAACCTTCAAATGGATCCTCAGAATATCGGCTTTCCCTTAAGTTATCCTGGCCCGGGGGGCACGGGAGCCCAGTCGTCAAAGGCGCCATGATTCGCTGTGTAGAGTTGCGTCCCTTGGGCACGCCAGAATCTTATGATTGTGGGTTCAAATGCCGGTTCGCCCCGACTAATGTTTCTAGGTTTGTCAGCACCATACCAGTGCTCGTCGGTTTTACTAAAGTTGTAAACGTCGGAGACCTGCATCAATTCGGGCTTTCCTCCCACATTAAGCTGACACGCTGCGATATAACTGTAATACTGTTAAAATCGGCGTCAAACCCAACTCACCCACTTTAAAGGCAAAGTGCCTGAAGGCTCTTGACTTCTCACTCTCCTGACCCGTTTTATTTCGTATCAGATCTTAAATGGCCCAAAGGTGATGTTTACAAATGTTACCTGTTCGTTGTCTTAGATGTTGTGTTGTTATCATAATATTGCCGACAAGGAGCAGTTAAGATGTGCATGACGCGGTAAGTACACATTGCCGAATACATCACAAGATTCCACTGGTAGGAATGTCACAGACCGACATGGTCCTGTACCCGTCTCAGCTCTCGAAATAAAAAAACAACCATGATCAGGTCGCCCATTCAGTTTGTGATGTGTAAGCAGGAATAATACAATCATCATGATGGCAAAAGCATGGTCAACGTCTTGTCTTCCAGCTTGTATGCACCAGTCACTGAACAAATAACCGCTGTCTACTGTTCTTGTTTCAGATATCTCAAAACAAAAACGAAAATATAAAAAAATCTGTGCATAAGTTTGCTGTTTATATATATTCAGCTGCAAAATGTTCTGGATTATTTTGTTTCAGGCCCATTCTTTGTTGGAGGATATTTTCCAGATTGGGACAAAAAACGCCACTTCAGAACTTCTTGGACAGGTAGGTATACGTTTTTGGCATACGATACTAGACCCCAAAGGGAATTTTTATTTCATTATGTTGTGCCAAGAAGCATCGTCCCAATCAGTTTGGGCCCACTTGGGGTAATGTGGCCTGGAAAATAGGTCCTAAATGGATAGCTCTTTGGGGCTCCATTCAGATGTGCCTAAGGGCTCCAACTGGGTCCTGAGTGATAACGTATATATGTGTCTGTGCAATAGTTGTTTCCCGAATACTGACACTAAATAATGCTAAGAAAGAGTGCACACGTTAAAATAAGTATGTCATCTTTAAGATGAACAATATTGTTGTGCTCAAGAACACAATGAATTCAGGTCGCCTTATTTGATAAATGTGATGATTTATTTTGAATTTGTTCGTGTTGGATGGTCAAAAAAATGTTTGTTACTTTGATAACACAAACATTCTAGAAAACAGTTTTCAGTCAGCACAAAGAACTGACAAATGCTTTGATTGTACTTTGTACCTTCATAAACAACACGGAACTGGCATCAGTTCCCATGATGGTGCTTGTAGACTTCTGCGACTTAGGATCTTTTCCCGAATGTAAAACAGTTTACTTTATTTAGTGGAAGGCTGAAAAGGTTAGAAGGCTTTACCGAGGAACAAGATCGTGACATCTCTTACCCAAATGAATTCAAAATGGCGGAAGGTGTCTGGTAAACTGCATTCATACCTTGCTCTGTGTCATTGTGTCTGTGTATGTGACACCTGACTATATGTCGAAACTGAATAACAATGGCAGACTCTAAACAGACATGATGCCTCATTCGTCGGGTTACAACACTAGCTTGATGAGGCGCCGGGGCAGAAACGCAGCGCAGAAACGAACGAAGATGCCTTATGGCCCAGAATAGCTCCCCTTTGATAAAGGACAATAACTTCTCAAAAGGCGATAGATTCATTGAAGTATCACATTTCAAATTAATCTGATTGTACTCATTTATGACCGACCTTCGTCATCAATTCTTGCTTACTTTTTTGCAGCTGAACCTCTTTGTCTCCAAGTTGACAGGAACATCCACTGGATTCACGGCCATTAACTTCTTTGTCATCAAAAACGAGTTCCTTCTGACTGTAAGTTGCAACGTCAACAATCCATGTCATAAAATGTAACGACTATCGTGGCAGAGGGTGGCAGAGACATAACTGAAATCAAAATATCACCGTTCATACCATATATACATGGTGTGAAATAGTACATTACTTTGTGATATTTGGACCTTGAAAAGTAAGTTTGACTGATAACAAGACATGGGTATGTTTATCCCTCACGAGGTTGTCTGTCTGACTGGCGTTTCACTTCCGCACAACTCGGTGGGGATTGTGGGTCGCATTAAGGTCCCCAGTATGTCATGCTTGCCATAAGATCCAATTAATAAGGATTGAGTTAGATGGTTGCCATTTGACCCAACGGTTGGATCGTTTGTCATGCAATCTACCACTTGTTGTCTTTATTATACACGAGCCATCGTACTTAAGTTATTCCTAACTGCCATGTAACTGAACATTGATTCATCTCATACACTGTATACACCTCAGCATGGCTTGTTTGACTGATCAACAAGAAACTCCTGGGTATGTTTTTCCCTCACAAGCATGTCTGTCTGACTGGCGTTTAATTTCCGCTAAACTTGTGGGTCACATTTAGTTCCCAGAATCCCATGCTTGTCATACGATCCGACTAAACTTAGGATTGGGTAACTTGGGTGACGTTGTTCCCAACTGCGTTAATCATTTTTCCTTCTCTTTACCACTTGTATATAGATTATGCAAAGGGCAGCATAAGAAAGTTATTGCTTACTGTCAAGTAACTCAACATTCATTCATTTCAGTTGTGTGGACTGTTCATCACCTACTTCTTCCTCCTGCTGCAGTTCAAGATATAGACTGACACCGGATGACTGAATATACACACCAAGTGCCTGTTCCACACATGAATGAAAGAAATTACTCTATACTCTGCAAATAGCAGTTGTGTAAATAAGGTCACCATGATCAGTCATAACTACCATAGCTATCAAAGCCCAGTTACGGTTTTACTTTGATGTATAGATAAAATCTGTATCTCTAGGAAATAAACGTCAACTTGGCATCGGCATTTATCGGTGGACATTTTTTATGTTGATGTTTGAAAAAGACATATTAAGTCCACCCTCTCCCACTGCTCTTCCCATCATATTAGTTATGATTGTGTAATCAAGGAATTGTAGACGACCACACACTGGATGATATTTGTTCATGCTAAGCTTCTTCCGGTTGCTGTAGACAAAACCTTTGTGCGTCAGTTCCCGAGATAGGAGATATAACACCACACGAAATTTGATCTGTTCTGGAAATTTACATAATTAGGTCTATAACACGCCCCACACCCCCTCCCTTTAACCTACACCCTGAATAACTGCGACATATGTTCACACCGCTAGGAATATTTAATCTGCAATCAATGAACACAAATGACTATCAAACAACATGTTTTATTTTCTATTATTCTGAAGTGGTCACGTGGACCCAGATATCTTGACCTAACTACACTGTTCGTGATGCACCAAACTTGGCGATCACAATTTAATATAAAAGGGTAAGTATGTCTTTTCCACAGATTTTGCCTAAAAAGTATATTGTACACAGCCTCATACCAAGTTTTGTTTTTTCTATGGCTTTTTTTAAACGACAGTGGAGTATTGCTATCGTGTCACTGGACTGTCTGATCCAGAATCGATTGTTTACATGCCGCCTTTGTATGGCAGGAGTAGTGCTGGGTTGACGTTTTATATTCTTTGACTGAGCCTGGGATTGTTTGCCATGACCCTGATAGTGATAGGGCTAAAACTGAACCGTGTTTACGTGCATGTTACAAACGTTCAGCAACTTTCTCTAAGCCTCTTCAAATACTGTTAAAAGCGGCGTTAAACCCAACTCACTCACTCACTCACTCACTCACTCACGCACAAAGCCTCTTCACCAAACCATGCTTGTCGTAAGAGGCGACTAACGGGATCGGGTGGTCAAGCTTGCTGACTAGGCATGTCATCGTATCCCAATTTCGTGGATCGATGCTCATGATGTCCATCACTTGATTATCTGGTCCAGGCTCAATTATTTACAGACCGCCCCAATACAGCTGGAATATTGTCGAGTGCGGCGTTAAACAACAAACAAACAAACAAACAAACAAAACATGGATGTCGCTGATGAGGTTGCCTCAATGCCTACAATCATGATGTCCGAGTTTCTTTATATACAAATTGCTTTGATAGTCAACCTCAAGGTTAAAATCATATTAAACAAATGCAAGCGGGTGGTGTTTCCACTTATTTTGAGTTTAATCGATATTCCTTTCAAATAGTAACGTCTATATTAGTATAATGAATCAAACATTGCAAATAGGTGTCCTGTAAAATGCATGTGATGCACTGACGGCGTCAAGGCATGTACTGATAAGCAAACCCAAAAGATGTTGACGACAAGAGACAAGACCTTCAAAGGACTTATGACGATCTGATATAGTTTGAAGCAAAATCAAAATTAAAGAAGAGAATATATGGATGTCAACTTCTTTATTCTGAGGAACACAACGTTTCGGAGTATATGCTTACTCCTTCATCAAATGAATGAATGCCATGAGGCAGAGAGCATATATGTGTACACGTAAGGACAACAAAATTTATAAGATAACAAAGATCTTGGTCAGTGCTAAGTAGTGTCGATTGTATGATTCCGACTATATCATGTGCATGTGTTTATGATACAAGTTGTTCCTGCCCCACCGGTGGCACCAGTCACAAACGCTCGCAAAGTCAAGTCAATTGTTCAACTGAAAAAGTACAGGATCATATGGTACAAGACGAAATAGGGAAATGTCTACCGAATTTACCTTAAAAAAGTGAAATGTAGACACAAACACTGGAGCTGCAGCAGGAACGGGGACGCAGTGGGTGCTAATGGGGATGCCTTCTTCTTGCCTAAACGTCTTCCTCTCTTACTTTTACATAGGTCTTATCAAAAGCATTTCACATAGTGTTTACTCAGTAAACTTCTGATGACATTTGCTTTCATTTCAACAAATTGACCCGAACCTATGAAAATAGATATGCAACTATATCTAAGGGTACCACATTTTGCAACAAGAGCCCTACGGATCAAGGAATTAAGTTTCTGAAGTTTTTCATGTGGAATAGAATCTTGAACCTTTTTCTTTTCTGGGATTGTAAAAAGTCAAGAATATCTTTGATTTTTTTAGGATCCACATGGTATTAACTCCGCTTGTGGCAAATGTGGCTTCTGTAAATATATAGAAAATCCTCCCTTGATGGTTAATCTTTGAGACATGGAGTTGGTGGTACGTTTGCTGTACCCAACAATATATCTCTCTTTGTACTGTTTTTATGGAGCTTTGGAACCCAGTACAAAAGAGGAATAGACATAGGTAAATTTCTTCCTCAGTTAACGACAGCAAATTCCAGTCTCAGACCAGTGAAGATTCGGTGTAGAATAGGTCTTCAGCAACCCATGCTTGCCGTAAAAGACTCGATTATTTACAGACCGCTGTCATATAGCTGGAATGAGTGCGGCGTTAAACAACAAACCAACCGACCTCACACACGCGATGGAGTCCGGAAAAGACTCACGTTCTGAATGTACGGAACACTTTTGACATTGAAGAGGAATGGTATCCAACGTTGGCAACGATGGTGGCGTTACGATCGAACCCAGAAATTCCAGCCTAGTTAGGCAAGGGTTGAAACTGGACTTTTATAGTCAGTTAACTCCCTTGACGCGGGAAGATGGAATACGGTGGACTGAGATAGAGAGTTATGGAAACCTGTGGAATAATCTGTGATGTGATATGATATCACTGTGTTAAAACTAGTTTTACTGTATATAAGTGGACAAGAGCATGCCTCTCGTATCTCTCACACAGTTTCATCTACAGAGAATACATCAAGACCAGCTTTCATGTGAAGATCACTCATCACCCCGGATTCCCTGCCTAGGCCCATCTCGGAAGTTGGACCACTGTCGCCGTTTGGTGAATATATTATTATCAATGACTTTTGCTACTTAAATTTGATACTGACCACTGCCATGACTATACGGTCATTGAATATTGTACTGCCTCTTTTGTGTACTGCTATTGTTATTGCTGTATTGATTTGTAAACCTAGTGAATTTTGTAAAACATTTGATTGTATACCATTTGTTGATTGTGTGTTGGTTTCACGAAAGAATTTAATTTACACAACAAGCATTCCAGAGGCAAAGACAGCGGGAACATTGTCTCAAGTTGATTGAATGATTTCAGTTCTGACTACAAACATGATATGCATTTTCTGTGAATATTTCCCTTAATTATCGTGTATAATGTTTATTATTATGTACTGTAATTAGCAGTTTTGCACTTTTATTAGCAAAGAAAGGTATCACTATGTTCAAACGTCCTTTCTCTGAAGGGGAAGAGTGTTATATGGCAGTGTATTTTGTTGTTTAACAATGATTGTAACGGTGTTACATTGTTTCTGTTCAAAGTCGGTAGATTTGCATTGTATTTGGGCATTGTAAGCAGTCGTCAGGAAGTTACTATACCTAGATACTAGTATGGCGTCTAAAAATCTGTCATGTTCTTGTACCGTTAGACTGGTGAGGACACTGTATGGAAACTTCCATTTGCCTTTTAGGCTTTATATATATTGTTATGTGAGCGTGTTAACATATCTCTCACACATTTTGTCTCTCACGCATTTCCTTGCCTTGAAACCCGATTTCATGCGAGGATCGTTCATCATCCCTGATTCCCCGCCCAGCCCATCACAGATGAACATATACTATTATCGCTGACTTTTACTATCACCACTGTTATAGTTTATTTGATACTGACTACTACCATCATTTTATATACTGCCATTGAATATTGTACTACTACATTATTGTGTACTGCCATTGTAACTGTCGTGCAGTAATTTGTATTGATTTGTGATTTGTGAATTTTGTAATGCATTTGTTGATTGTATACCACTTGTTTGTTGTTTGTTGGTTCCACACTAAGTTCTTTTACGTACGTATTAAACATATTATATTAATTAGATAATCGACACGTAACAACGTGAACTTTAAACAAGTAAAACTGACTAAAAGACCAAATACAAAATTATAGGGACATTATATATCATCCTCAACATGGTTTATATGGGAGACATTATTCGGATCTGTTGATTCAACGAGCTCAAACCCATCATTCTGGTTCGCCCCGATTATCTTTCTAGGTATGTCAGCACCATACCCATGCTCGTGGGTTTCACAAAAGTAGAAAACGTTCAAGTACTGCATCGCTTTAGGCTTTCTTCCCACATCAAGCTGGCGCGCTGGAATGCTGTTCAAAGCAGCGTCGACCGCCCCCGTTGTCTGGTGGTAGAGCGTCTGCGTGGAGTATAAATGTTAAACTGCGGCATGGTATCTCGGTGGGTTAGCACTATAAATCGGCATTAGTCCGGACTAGTAGAAGCATACGCACACACGCACACACGCACACACGCTCGCACGCACGCACGCACACACACACACACACAATCTTGGACGCGACGTTAAACCCCATTTTACCTCACCTCAAAGCAGCGTCAAACTCAACTCACTCACTCACTCACCCGCTGCCTTAAATTTGGTCAAGGCATTAAGTAATCCGCATGCGCAGAACGATTGATTTCAGTACTTCCGCTAAGCGCTTCGAGTGCAGCGTCAAACGCGGGCCTGTAATCTAACACGCGGGGACTGACCAATGAAATCTGAGAAGTAGAAACACCGGTAGACGCTGTTGCTTGATTGACAATGTCAATCAAGAAAGGGAGGAGCTTAACGCTATCGTTCTCTCCCAGTAAATTCCGATGTCAAATAA